TAGGAAAATCAAGCTTCCAGACAAAAAATCTATTTTTAGTAACAACCCTTATAAATTTGGTTACACATATGTTTTTAATATATAAAGAAAATATTCCAAGCTTTGTATCACATTTTTCTACTATGCAAACAGGGTCCAATTTTTCACCAACCATAAATTCTTTATTAGAGATTATTATTGAGTAAAAAGACAAAAAAAAAATAGCTGGAAGCTTGATTTTCTTAGTACAGACCCCATATGTGAATTGTGAATTCACTTAATTTCATTTTCATGTACAACATTATCAAATAAAAGGCCATATTTAATTTACTTGTTGAATCACTATCAGTCAACTTCCAGAAGAGGTTTCCCATCTCCCAGGTTTGTTTGTCCTAAATGATTCTTTCCTCTAAAAATACACAGCAAAGATACAAACTATGCGGTAGACTGATTTGAATTGAACAATGTCAAACTCCAAGTTATTCTTTGATTACAGTGAATTCTTGTTCCTTATATACATGTTAAATTATATGTGTCCCAGTTTGGGATAATTATCCCAGTCTGGGATGTTTAGCCCAATCTGGGATAATTTTCATTAATTTCTACTAAATAAAGGTCTAATGCTAACATGTTACGAATTAATTAAATCTGCGGAATGTAACACAAGCTCATATAATTGGGGCATGCTGCAACAAAACCAGACAAAGTGAACATTGGTATTACCAAGATTTTCAGGGATCAACATTTAGTCATCATCATTAATGTGTCGTCCCATTTGTTATCTTCATTTTTGCATGTAGAACTGTTCCTATATAAAGGTAAAACCAATTTATAATAGAGATCAAGAATTATACATAGTACAATAAAAGTAATTATTATAGTATTATCAGAAAGTCATAAGGAGTTATGATTGGTATTTTTAGTAAATATAAGACCTCAAGGATCTAATGATAAGTGTGAAGCACAAATATTTTTATTAATCAATGAGTTTATGTTTCATAAACTTAATATAAGTTAGTGAAACACAAGCCTTTGATCCACGAATATTGATATTTATTTTGCAATTATAAAAATAAGCAATTGATGATTATCATAAGGATATTTGATATAATTTATATTAATTTTCACTAATTCCATCCATACACAGTCCTTCCTTGTTTTTTTAGTGAATAGACTGTAATAAAGAAATTAAATAAATGAATTAATTAATATGATCAAAAGGTAACATTTATATATTAATGTAAATATAAAATGAATACATTGTAAACTAACTTACCAACATCTAATAGCGTGACTGTGCTTCAATTTGCGTGTTCTGTATACACAACCACGTCCTAAAAGAAATAAAAATAATTGATATGAAAAAATTTAAATTATTATGATTAATGTCCAAACTATAATTATATTTGTGTTATTATCATTGTTGCTACATTACATACTTTAATCACAGTTTTGAGGAATTTTTTCAATATATTACAAGAGTCTTCATAAATTAGTTCTGAAATACATTTCACCCCCCCATGTGCAAGTCTCCTGATGGCTGGCTTAGTTATTCCTTTAATAGCTTCCCTATAGTGACGTTTAGTTCTTCTCCTTTCACCTTTTATCACATTATTATTAACAATGATAAAGAAATTTAAAAATTTTTTAAAAAAAATAGGATGAAGAAAAGTGTTATATAATCAGCAAATGTTTTATAAATTTAAGCCAAAATAACTTGTCATTGTAACGTTCACTGCTCACCAATGTTGTTCTCTGTGTTATCAAATGTGGTTGTATTAGTGTCAATGTTGTTCTCTGTATTATCAAATGTGGTTGTATTAGTGTCAATGTTGTTCTCTGTATTATTGAATGTGGTTGTATTAGTGTCAATGTTGTTCTCTGTGTTATCAAATGTGGTTGTATTAGTGTCAATGTTGTCTATATCATTATAAGAGCTACTAGCGGCTACAATGTCTTCATTGAAAGATTCATCTTCCGGAATTGATATTTCTTCTAGTTGATCATCATAGTGATGTTAGCCGTTTAAAAATCCTTAGCCGGCTAAGCCATTTACTACCTAAATTGGTAATTTGATTTCTATAACAAGAAAGTAACGCAGAAATCTATTACCAAATTTAGAAATTATGCATGCAGATTATTAGCCAGCTAACATCACTAGATCATCATTGTATTGGCCAAAAATATTAGATATTTCCCCCAAAGAATTTTTTAAAGAAAGCTTTAACAGTCCTACTGCTTCTTCTTCCATCTCTATAATTTCATTTGTTTTTTCTAGTGACATGTTATAGCTTGCACCTAATTCAGTTACTGCATTTCTCACAATTGTTTTGATAGCCTCTTTGTGATTATTCTAAAAATAATTCAATATTTTTTTATTTTATTAATATACTTATTTGATAAAGATAATATAGTTTACTTATGCTCAATAGAAGATGACGATAATGGCTTTATTTCATTATAAAAAGTTAAAAACTCATTTTTATTTTTAAAAAAAGCTTATGACAAATGAATGGGACTTACAGAGTTAGTCATGGAGTCATATTTCTTAGTATTTGCACTGGTAAAGACATTTTAAAAAAGAAACTAGGATGAGTTGCAATGATCATGACTAACACCTTAAACAAAGACAATAACACTTACCTGTGTTGTTGCTTATCTTTTTGTTGGATTCTTCTTCTTTCCGTCCTTTTTGGCAGCATACTTGGCATACTTGTAGAAATTATGGAGAGAGGAGGAAATCAATTTATAAAAAATAATTCTGTTATTTGATTAATCTTGTACCACGTATTGATATATGGATATGTGACAACACATGATGTCGATCATTGTTAGAAATTTTGACTTTTTTCATAAGTTTGTTTGCAATATATCTAAAGTTTTATGTTGAGAATTTTTATTTAGAGACCAAAGCTAGCATTCTTCCACCAAAAAATATCCACTCATAGATCATCCACCAAAAAATTGCACAATTATGGTTGTTATTTTATAGCAGTTATTATTTTTATTACAATAAAGTAATTGTTTAGAAATACACAATTATCATTCACAACTATTTCGAAATATTTATGACCACGTTTATGACTATTGAACATCTTGAACAAGGGATTGTGCAATGTTAATTCTATTTTATGGGTGGGTATGTGGGTGTTGTAATAGCACATGATCATTTTCACACGAGCATATTGAAATCTAAATGTTATATGCGATTTTTGACTGCTTGGATCACGTGTTTGTCATTTTTTTCCACATGTATAAGTTGCACAAAGAACCCTATTACTATGGTTGGCTTCAAAACTGGTTGGTGGATTTTTTATTGGATTGACTGATTTTATTATTTTTTAATGAGGTAATTGAAATATACAATTATTTATTTCATCTAGGAAATGTATCCAGTAGATGTTGTGTTCCCAACAAAATAGCAACCAGGTTGCACTTCCTAAGTTGCAGACACCATCTTTATACTAAGGTCACACTAGTGTCAACTCTCATCAGCAATCAATACTCATATTGGTACCAGCTAAATTTGGATTGAGGGAAAGATAAGGAAGTTTTGTCAATCTTGAAAAGTCTTCTAACATGTCCAAGTCCTTTCTTCTGTAGAAAAAGATTCTACAGTGCAGACTGATGTTTAATTAGATGGGTGCTTGCATGTTTGTGCCAGGAAAATTTATTAAATCTGACACCTGTAATCAATGTCATCAGATTTATTATTCTATTCACAAGGAAAAATAATCATCCAGTCAAATCCATGGCTCAAGGGAGGAATAGATTTATTTGTCTTTGTAAATCTCAGAGATCTGGATAGATAGACACATTATTGTTTTGAAATCAAGTTCCTTAAAAAAATTATTTCTGCATGGTCTTGGTATTATTTATTACCGAGTGATGCAATTGTTTGTTATGTCAATGATAGCATCAAATGTATTGAATAATCATTGTGATTTAGTGTAGCATATGTAAAATGCATCATTCATGTTCAAGGGAAAAGTTAAAAAAGTTTTTTTTTCTCTCTCTTTTTGATTCAAATAAAATATAGGAAAATAAATAATTATTTAAATAATTATTTTATAAATTGTTATTGATGAAAATAAAGTATTAAAAATATTTATTAATTGTTTACCTTCTTAAATATTTTGTTCTTTGAATGATTTCTATCTTTCTCTCTCTCATCTCAATTTTCAAAAACCTACAAAGTGAACATAAAATTATATGTATAGGGATAAGTGTATATGAAAAATAATAATAATGGTTCTAATGAATATCAAAAAGCTATTGATTTTTTAGAAAAAAGGTGTAATTGTGGTTGTTCTTCAAGAATTCCCAAGGAACAATTTGCAGAATTAAGGGAATCCTTTCAAGCTCTTTCTAAGTCTGAACAAGACATATTTTTAATGGCTCAACTTAAA